TCTTGTGCTGGTGGCTTCGTGGATGGGGGGGTTGGTTGGCCCCCGAAACTCGGAAGACCAACCCCAGACCCCAGACCCCAGACCCTAAACCCTAAACCCTATAAACCCTAAACCCTAAACCCTAAACCCTAAACCCTAAACCCTAAACCCTAAACCCTAAACCCTAAACCCTAAACCCTAAACCCTAAACCCTAAACCCTAAACCCTACAGGATGTCCTAGCTGGGACAAAGAAGCCTCACCCCGAGCTGCTGAAGAGGCGGCGTGCAGCCCAAGGGAGTCTGAAGTTTTGGGCATAGGGCTGAAGGGTTTTTTGTGGCTTATTAGGGAAGGGCTTAGGGTTTAGGGTTGAGTGTGTAGGGTTTAGGGTTTAGGGTTTAGGGTTCAGGGTTTAGGGTTTAGGGTTTAGGGTTTAGGGTTTAGGGTTTAGGGCATAGCTACATAGGTTTTAAGTTAAGGTTGCATGGGCGCGGAGGCTCTAGCGTATCTATGGCGGGCGGTTTTCGGACTTGAGGGAGCTCTTCAAGGGAGTTGAGAGCTGATGTTCCGCGTTGGGCTACGCATGCAGGTATAGGGTTTAGGGCATAGGCCTTAGGGCGCAGGATTTAGGGTTTAGGGTTTGGGGTTTAGGGTTCAGAGGGCCTCTAGATTGGGGTCCTTTTTTGGGTCCCCCATATCATACGGCACCCTTATAGTAAGGGCCTGTCAACAAGAAGGGACCCTAATGTGGAAAACTTCCCATGTGCCTCGCAGAAGCTGAAGCACTTGCGGGCATGGAGTGCAGGGCTAGTTCACCCTAAGGCCGGAACCCTAAACCCTATAAACCCTAAGCACCCCAAGCGTCTCCGCCAGGTATCCGAACCGGGAGATACCTCATCCTGATGATCCCTACGCACGCACCCTGCGGCCACCGAGCGTCGCCTCGCAGAGATCCAGGCAGAGGGTGTAGGGTTTGGGGTTTGTAGGGTTTCTTGTCTTTTTAAGGGTTTGCAGTGTTTGTGGGCTTCTTTTGGTAGGACGTTATAGGGTTTAGGCTGTTCAGGGTTGGGGCTTAAGGGCCGGTCCGCGAGAGGTGTTGTTGGAGCCGATGGGGCCTCCTTTCTCGGCTTGCCAGCGCGCTCCTCACATAGATTCTCTGGACAACCCCCCCCCCCCCCCCAACAGCAAGTTGCTGGAAAATGTTTGAGTCGAAGTGATGATCCACAAGATGAAGGAGAAAGATGCCTACATGGAGCTCCGATCGCAGATTGGGCAAGCCAGGAAGCACATCTCCGCCGGCCGAAAAGTGACGGCTGGTGGGTGATTTTGGGTGGTTTGGGCAACAGCCTAGCAGCTCTAGCCCTATGAAACCTGCATTTTGTACTTGAAAATTGTACTTGAAGAGAAAGACAGGGTTTCGGGTTTAGGGTTTAGGGTTTAGGGTTTGGGGTTTGGGGTTTAGGGTTTAGGGTTTAGGGTTTAGGAACTGGACCCCGCAGCTCCAAAGCCCTCAACCCTTGAGCCACTTCTCGAAAAGATTCTCCTTTTGGGGTTCTCATTTCGACACAGAGTTTGGGGTTTAGGGTTTGGGGCCTAGGAATTAGGTTTTACATAGGCGTTGGGGTTTGGGCGTGGTTCCCTATGGCGGGGCGTGGGGAGGGTTAGACCCAAAAAACCCTGAATGCCCTCAGCGGGCTGAAAGCCCTAAAGGTCCTAAACGCCCTAAAAGCACTTAAAAACCCAAACCCTCTTGAGGGTACGCCTTGGAGTGACACTCGGCTCAATCAACACCAAGCCCAGATCGAAACAAAAACACCTTAAACGCCTCTCGCGCTAGACCCTCTATATAAACTCTAAACCCTACACCCCTAAATTCCACAACAGTCGAATCTCGAACGCCTCAAGAACGACTGAACCTGTTCAACACAGATCGGTCTAGAGTTCAATTCAGAAGTACCTCAACCCTAAGCCCTAAATACCCTAAATCCTACCTGCGGATGTTGCGCCGCAGGAGGTCGGATGCAAGTGTCAGGACCGGCCCCGGTTGTTCGTGCTCAGAGCGTTTGACATGAGCGCACGAAGCCCGAAGCCCGAAACCCTAAGTTGAGGGGTTTAGGTTTAGGGATTGAAACCCGTGACCCTGAGTCCTAAACAGGGTGTAGGGTTTCGGGTTTAGGGTTGCGGGTTTAGGGTTTCGGGTTTATAGCTACGGCAGGTACCCAAAAACGGGAACCGAGTTGAAATCGCTGTGCTCCTCGACGCTTACCCTAAACCCTAAACCCTAAGCCCTAAACCCAAGCTGCTGTGGAACCCCAACGTGACATGGAGGCCGGGATGCACCGCCCTGGGCACCCTCCTTACCTTAATAACTCAGAACCCTAAGCCCCGAATGGGTTTAGGGTTTAGGGTTTAGGGTTTAGGGTTTAGGGTTTAGGGTTTAGGGTTTAGGGTTTAGGGTTTAGGGTTTAGGGTTTAGGGTTTGGGCTCTATGGTTCCCTTCTTGCAAGGTGCCTGTAAAGAAGTTGGGGGCCCAAGAGCCACATAAACATAAGGATGTTACTCTTGCGGTATAAGGGCCGCTAGAAGGGGGAGTCTGGAAACCCTGTTTGTAGAATCCTTATGTTTGTGTGTCTTTTTAGAATGAGCCTCAAGACTCGAAGCTGCATTGAGAAGCTCTTAAGGCCCTAAACCCTGGAGTTCAGCGGCTTAGGGTTAAGGGCTTTGAAACCCTTGATCCCCCTAAACCCTAAACCCTAAACCCTAAACCCTTAACCCTAAACCCTAAACCCTAAACCGCTCTTGGGGCCCTGAACCGGAACACGCAAGTCCCCACGGAAGGAGCTCTGCCTCCCTCGCCGGCTCCTCCATTGCCTCATCGACCCTCTCTAAGCCACCTTCAGGGCCCGCCTCCGGGGTTTAGGGTTTAGGGTTTAGGGTTTAGGGATTAGGGATTATAGGGTTTAGGGTTTAGGGTTTAGGGTGTAGGGTGTAGGGTGTAGGGTGTAGGGTGCAGGGTGCAGGGTGCAGGGTGCAGGGTGTAGGGCCAGGGTTTAGGGCTTAGGGTTTAGGGTCTAGGGTTTGGGGTTTGGGGTTTAGTTAGTTTGAGGCTTAGGGTCTTTGGTGCCTAAGCGCTGGACCCTAAACCCCAGGCGTCATGGATTTTGAGGGTTCAGGGTTTAGGGTTTTTGCGGGCCTTGTTTGGCTTTTCGGCGTTTATGGTCGTTGGGGTTTAGGGCTAAACCCAAAACCCAAAACCCTAAACCCTAACCCCTCAACCCTCAACCCTAAACCCTAAACCCTAAACCCTAAACCCTAAACCCTAAACCCTAAACCCTAAACCCTGTTCATGGTTGCTGCTTTAGCGCTTCTGGCTCTTGAGGGTTGAGGGGTTGGGAGTTTTGGGGTGTGCGGCCTGTAGTTTAAGGCTTACGGTCTGCACAAGGCTGTAGGAGCTCTTGCTTGACAGGTCTAAGTTTTAAGCCCCAAACCCTAAAGGGCGACCCTAAACCCTAAACCCTAAACCCTAAACCCTAAACCCTAAACCCTAAACCCTAAACCCTAAACCCTAAACCCTGAACCCTGAACCCTGAACCCTGAACCCTGAACCCTACACCCTAAACTGGACCCTAAAGTCCAAACCCTAAGCCCCAAACCGACCGTGGGCCCAGGGCTTGCGGGTGTCCCCGCCTTTCCCCCTATACGGACTTAGAGTGTAGGGTTTAGGGTTTAGGGTTTAGGGTTTAGGGCTTGTTTAGGGATTAGGGTTTAGGGTTTAGGGCTCAGGGTTTAGGGTTTCGGGTTTATTTAGGGTTTAGGGTTTAGGGTTCAGGGTCTAGGTTGAGGGTTTAGGGTTTAGGGTTTAGGTAGACTCCAGAGTTTCGGGATCAGGGAGTTGGGTCTAGGCCCTCGGGGTGCTTACGAAGCACCGAGCCGGCCAGGTACTACCGCCAACTCCCTACGCCCAACTTGATGCGCCCCGGGAGGGCTTTGGGAGGGGTTTAGGGCTTAGGGTTCGGGGCTTAGGGTTTAGAGCCGTTGAGGGTTTAGGGTTTAGGGTTTAGGGTTTAGGGTTTAGGGTTCAGGGTTTAGGGTTTAGGGTTTAGGGTTTAGGGTTTAGGGTGTCGCGGCAGAACTCGGGCGCCTACAACCCCGATCCCCAAACCCTACGCTGCAGAGACGTGGCCCTGAAATCAAGGGTTGGGTTTGAGGCTGAAACAGGGGGCCATATCAATGAAATCGTGCTTTGGGGGGGGGGGGTTATTATAGTATACTTATCATATAGGGACCATAGGGGAATACGATTTTTACCCCTACACCCTAAACCCCTAAACCCCTTTAGTCGGTTGTTGGACGGTCTAGGGTAGACTCCCGAGACCTTACACCCGTTCAGGCTCCAACCCCTGAGCCCGAAAGGGGGGTCTTGGTTCGGGGTTAGGGTTGTTTAGGGTTTAGGGTTTAGGGTTTAGGGTTCCGGGTTTAGGGTTTAGGGTTTAGGGTTCTGCCCTTGGCTTGCGCGAGGTATCACACGCCACTCGCCTGCACTGGGATGTCAACATGGTGGCCAGTGTGAGAGATGACAAAACCGCCCGAAGGCTTTGGGGGTTTTCTGGTTCAAGGGATTTCGCCGGTCAGGAGATTTCAGCCTTCGACCCTAGACGCCAAACCCCAAACTTTAGAGTAGGGTGTAGGGTTTTGGGGTTCAATCCTCGAAGTCTGCCTTTGTTGTTTTTTTTAAAGGTGGGCTTAGTTTTTCGCGAAGGTTTTGTTCCTTTCAGCACCCTTTTTCCTTACTTGTTTAGGGTATCAGGGAATTAGGTACAAGAAGTCCCCTTAGCTTAGCCCTTTAATGCGATTTCATCGGGTAGCCCTACTAAGAACCAAGCCCTTTAGAATCCCTTCCGAAACCTGAGTCTCTCTTGCAGTCCTGCTTACATAGTCCATTTCCGAACTCCCGCTTTCTGTGGTCATTGTGCTGAGCAGTTTTAAGCGTTGGTGTTTTTGACTTGTCGAAGCCTTGCAAAAATGGGCTCTCTACCCGAACGGCTCTTGCCGCACAAATCCTTCTTAATCCACCGGGCCGGGGGTCAGGAGTAAATACTAGGAGATTTGAAAAGCACCATTGTGCTTTTTGTAAGGCTCCACGCCCAAAGCCCTTTCGCCCGTGTGTAGGGCTTAGGGTTTAGGGTTTAGGGTTTCAGATTTAGGGTTTAGGGCTTGGGTTTAGGGTTTAGGGTTTAGGGTTTAGGGTTTAGGGTTTTGGGTTTAGGGTTTAGGGTTTAGGGTTTAGGGTTTAGGGTTTAGGGTTTAGGGTTTAGGGTTTAGGGCCGTCAGCTCAGGTCCAACGGCGTCTTCGGGGCAGGTGGCCGGATACCGCCTGAGCCGCAGAAGGGGCGCGAGCTGTGGATGATGGGCCGAGGCAGCAGACTTCTAGGGGTTCAGGGTTTAAGGGTTGGGGTTTAGGGTTTAGGGTTTAGGGTTTAGGGTTTAGGGTTTAGGGTTTAGGGTTTAGGGTTTAGGGTTTAGGGTTTAGGGTTTAGGGTTTAGGGTTTAGGGTTTAGGGTTTAGGGTTAGGGGTTAGGGTTTAGGGTTTAGGGTTTAGGGTTTAGGGTTTAGGGTTTAGGGTGTGATTTGCGTGCGCGAGCCGAGCTCAAGACAGATTCTTCTTGAACATGGCCTAGGACTTTCGAGGGCTGCGGGTTGAACGCACCCCCTGAACTCTAAACTTTAAACAAGAAAAGCCCTAACCCCCCGCCAAATTCCTTCATCAAAAAGGAGAGCTGAGGGACATGCGGTTTAAGGTTTAAGGTTTCAGGAAGCTCCTTTTCCTCTTCAGCCAACGATGAGAAGCCTGCCCTTTCTTGCAAGTAGAGCGACAACTGACTCATTGAGGCGAACCCATCTGCACGTGAGCAGATTTGCTATAGCCCCCCTAGGAGTTATTCTGTTTACTCAAATAAGTTAAAGGGAACATTAACAACATTATGTTCCTTAAGGTTCTAAGGGGTTTCTAAGGGGAGTATAGCTTGAAGTCTACTTTGAAACCCACACATCTTACTCTTCCCCCCTGGTTCTTAGTAGGGAATGAGGGAATGAGGTACCCTGCAGATACCCTTAAGGGGTCTATGTGGGGCCCTAGTTCCCTCGTTCCCTACTAAGAACCAGGGCGTCTTACAAGCTTGGGGTTAGGGGTCCGAAACCCTAAACCCTAAACCCTAAACCCTAAACCCTAAACCCTAAACCCTAAACCCTAAACCCTAAACCCTCAGCTTCCGTTCGACCAGTGCCAGGTGGAGGCCAACAGTCGTCCTTCGATAGCTGCCTGGTCTACAAAGGCCGGGGCTCTCCCCGCTCTGCAAAAGCCCCAAACCCTAAACCCTAAACCCTAAACCCTAAACCCTAAACCCTAAACCCTAAACCCTAAACCCTAAACCCTAAACCCTAAACCCTAAACCCCCAACCCTAAAACCTCAAACCCTAAACCCCCTCAACCCTAAACCCTTTTCTGTTGGCGATACCAGAACATGTGTCTTCAGGGCGTTTCAAGGACTAAAGGGCTGACATTGTTGATTGGGGCAAGAGTGAGCCCGCACAGTGCTAGCCCCCGAACCCTAAGCCCTAAACCCTAAACCCTAAACCCTAAACCCTAAACCCTAAACCCTCAACGGCCCCAAATCCGGTTTGGGCGCAGGATCCAAGGTGCCCTGGTGCGACCAAAGCCGCTGATTTCATCTGGAGACCTCCCCCTGTGTAGGGTTTGGGGTTTAGGGTTTAGGTTTGGGGTTTAGGGTTTAGGGTTTAGGGTTTAGGGTTTAGGGTTTAGGGTTTGGGGCTCAGGGTTGAGGGGTTTTGGGGTGTAGGGTTTGAAAGGGTTAGAACTTAGTCGGGTTTGAGGGTTGAGGGTCGAGGGTTTAGTGTTTAAGTTTTAGGGTTTAGGGGTTAGCGCTACACCCTAGACCAGAGGAGGTGTCCATCTTAAGATATTGACGCCAGCGTACAGCCACGCGAATACCGGGGAGATCTCCATGCTGCGTTGCTTCTCAGTTGTGTGGAGGACGCTTAGGTAGGCAAATCTGGCTCCGCCAGCAAAGCAAGTAGAATCCAAAGTCAAAAAGGCAGGTGCAGCTTGGGAAAGGCACCCTTTAAACAGGCCAGCTGAAGCATTTCGAGCATGAGCTACAGCCCCTGAATTCCCGAACTTCTGAAGCCTCACCTTATATCCGAGGGCCCCCAAAAAGAATCCCTTTCCCAGGAAAGTGCGAATCCGGCATATGCCTGCTTCAGTGCCCAAAGGGCCCATGTTTCACAGGCGAAGCTGCACAAAGGTATCCCTCTCGCCCCGGAGTCTTTGAAAGAAACCCTGGATGCCAACCAGAAGTGAGGGTTCAGGGTTTAGGGTTTAGGGTTTAGGGTTTAGGGTTTAGGGTTTAGGGTTTAGGGTTTAGGGTTTAGGGTTTAGGGTTTAGGGTTTAGGGTGTAGGCCTAGGGCCTAGGGGTTAAAGACATGTTGCAGAGGGTGGACTCATTAATGCTGACGCTTGGCCGCGTGTCGGAAGGCACATCTGGCTCCCCCCCGTGTCCCTGAACCCCTGAACACCTAAAGCCCTAAATGCCTGATCGTTCTGAGAACGGGTAAGGGTTTAGGGTTTAGGGTTTAGGGTTTCGGGTTTAGGGTTTAGGGTTTAGGGTTTAGGGTTTAGGGTTTAGGGTTTAGGGTTTAGGGTTTAGGGTGTAGGGTGTAGGGTGTAGGGTGTAGGGTGTAGGGTGTTTGGTAGTATTTGTCCAGTGCCGCTTGCTTGCGCACCACGCTTGAAAGGCCACTTGGAAGAAGCAAAGCGGATGAACCCTCGAGGTCCTCGCAGCAGACCCCTCGACCCTTCAACCCTAAACCCTTCAACCCTCAACCCTAAACCCTAAACCCTAAACCCAAAACCCAAAACCCTAAACCCAAACTCTTCTGCCGACCGCCACATCTTGAGCCAGCTGTGAGGGAGCAGGGCGCTGCTTGGGGAGCCATGCAGGGCAAAATCGCGAGTCGCCATGCACTTTGGCTTCGAGCAGGTTGAGTTTAGGGTTTAGGGTTTAGGGTTTAGGGTTTAGGGTTTAGGGTTTGGGGTTTGGGGTTTGGGGTTTGGGGTTTGGGGTTTGGGGTATAGGGATTTATGGTTTGAATGATATTGAGCTGAGGCTTTAGGGTGCCCGGCTCAGGGTTTGAACTATAGCTAAACCCTAGGATAGTGTGTCCCGCCGTCCCCCGCCTGAACAGTGGAAGCTAGTTTGGAGCCGTTCTTAAGTTGCTCTGATTTTTGAACGATGACCCTCGCCAACCTTAGAAGGGATTGCAGTCTCCTTACAGTCTCCTTCTCTCAGGGTTTAGGGTTTCGGGTTTAGGACTTAGGGTTTGGGGTTTACGAAGGTCCAAGCAAAGGCTCCCTCGCCTCAAGATTTCAAGAGCCAGGCCTTGAAAAGCAGAGGCCAGGCCCTTCCAAATGCAAAGCCCACTAGGTTCTGCATTCAACCCTAAACCCGAAACCACCACGAGCCACCCCGCTGGTTCTTAGTAATGGGGGCATTCGGTTCCCTACATAATCCTTAAAGGATATAGATAAGGATATACGGTGGATGGACGAAATCTTGCACCACCTGTACCATGTGTACTGCAAACGATTGAGGCATCAAGCCCTGCTTAACATTGGCGGCTAGGATTACTTGAGCTTCAAATCCGGCCGGCAGCTTTTCACAGCCAAGGCAAAAAGGGGCCACGGGGAACACGAAAAGACGTCACTGAAAAGTGGTGCAAGATTTGTCCAATCACAGCAGGGCACCTCATTCACTCATTCCCTACGAAGAACCAGCAAGCCATGGGGGGGGTGGGGAGAGGGAAACCCTAAACGTAAGCCCTGAGCCCTAGAGGCCCTAGAGAACCCAAACCCACCATGAGGCACAGTGGGAAGAGGGGAAACCAAAAACCTTAACCGTGTTACCTGAGCCCTAAACCCTGAACGAACCACAGGGGAGAGGGGGGAGAGGGGAACCCCCGCACCGGGTCCCTGAAGATTAAGGGCCCCTGGCCTTATGCTTCCCAGGGGGCAACAGTAGACTAGAGAATCCAAAGGCCCAAGCCCTAATGCAAATCCATCCTCCAAACTGCAGCTTCAAGCAAGACCCAGGTATAATGTCAACGCTCAGCGCCAGATCACCCGCAAAGAGCTGAAAGAGGGGATCGAGGGAGCGCGATCCTGGCACCATCAATACAAGGAGTCAGGGGTTTAGGGTTTAGGACTTAGGACTTAGGGTTTATAAGGGTTTAGGACGTCGGGGTTTAGCATAAAGAACCAAGGGGGTTTATGGTGCTGTAGCCCCCAAACAGGGGGCTTAGCAATCCCAAGTTAGGCCGGAAGATGCCCTCAATGGGAATATGATATGGCCCCCTTGCAGCCCTCTCCCTTCCACCCCCTTGGCTCCCTGGAAAGCATTCAGCGCTACATAACTCACCCCAACCCCTAAACCCAGCCTTTCGAGGCTCCTGGCTAGGCTTGTCTCGTCTTTGGGGGCTCGGGGCAACACCAGGATTCCGCGTACATCTACGTCGGCGGCCTTCACGAAGCCGGCTTGCAGTTCAGATCGCGTCCTTTGCTGGTTCATCGGGAGCCCAAAACACTGAGTCCTAGCATCCTCCAAACCGAATCCCATTCCCACAAACTCTAGACCAAAGCACGGTTGTACCGCAAGAAAGCCCACACCCAAACCCACGCTTCCAAGTCGCGATACCCTAAACCCTAAACCCTAAACCCTAAACCCTAAACCCTAAACCCTAAACCTCGGCCCTAAGTTCGTAGGCCTCTTTAAATCTCAAGCCTAAGAGCGCCGCCCATACCAGGAAGGTCTCACCGAGGGCGATGTCGTCATCGTGTTCTCGCAGTTTGGCGAGATCGTGGACTGCCACATGGTGCCCTTGGGGGTTTATGGTTTAGGGTTTAGGGTTTAGGGTTTAGGGTTTAGGGTTTAGGGTTTAGGGCCGAAACAACCATTTTGGGATGCAGGATTGGGAATCCCAACTCAATTCCAGCCCTTTCTCTCTGCAACACTGTACGTTGCCACCACCCTGAATCTTTGGTTTTACCTCCAACATGTAGCGGGTAATAAGGGGGCCAGGGCTTAAATCCTAAAGCCTAAACCCCCAAACTATGTTGAGTAGCCAACCTGTAACTTTCTCAGGTGCGATCAATCCCTTTAACAGCCCAGAATTCAGCCAGTAGGTGGTCAGGGACCCAGGCAACCTGGAAACGTAGGCTTATCTTTCAAGGGCGTTTGGGGCGTTTAGGATACCATCTCGTACCAGTAACATCCGAAACCTTTCAGAACCTTATAAACATTCTGCAAATCCCGAACCCCCCCAGACTGCTAAACACTTGAGTGTGCCGCTGAGGTTCGTGACAGGAGCACTGGCAAATCCAAGGGCTTCGCCTTTGTCTGCTACGATGATCAGCGCAGTACCGTCTTGGCTGTGGACAACATGAGACTTGACGACTCGTTGGTGCCCTAAACCCTAGCCCTAAACTCTTAACCCCAGACCTTAACCCCAGACCCGAAACCCTAAACCCTAAACCCATATCCCTAACTAAAGCCACTTCTGGCCCGAGTCTTCCACGGCCTCTTTCAGTTCAAATGGCGTACCAGAAGGAAGCATCTTTCTTGGTAATATGCGGAGGGTTTAGGCTTTGGGGTTTGGGGTTTCGGGTCAGATGTAGGGCTTAAGGCTCTGGGCGGCTTTAGGTTTCACAGACCAGTTCGCCTGCTTAAGCAAGATCCAGCGACTGTTCGAGGGCGGGAGGGGAGGGGAGGGGAGGGGAGGGGAGCCTAGAATTCAATCTCCACCCTCCAGGGAGTAGCCCTAAACCCCAAACCTCGGACCTTTTGTGGACGGTTCAGGCGGGGGGGGGGGGGGGGGGGGGGGGGGGATTCCCACACGAAGGAGCATGAGGGTTTTCTGGGTCTGTCAACTTTCGCCACTCAAGGAATGGGTACCAGCTCCTCAAGCGCACGCTGAGGCGCAACTCGGGGTTTCGGTTTTTGTTTTTTTTTGTTGGGGGGAGGGGGAGGGGGGTGGAAGCCTGAACCCCCCTAAACCCGGTCTAAGGTTGGAAAAAATGTGCCCATGGTATGATCCCCTACCCTTATTTAAAAGAATTTGCATCACGAGATCCGAAGTATGGGCCCTTATTTTGCATAGTGTATAGGGGTTATATGGCAAGGGGCCCACATCAAGGGCCCATACTTCGGATCCCCTAGTCTGCGTGCCGCTCAAAATCTTGGGCACACATGGTGTCAGCGCTCCTTCGGTTTAGGGTTTAGGGTTTGGGGTTTAGGGTTTGGGGTTGAGGGTTTAGGGTTTAGGGTTTTAGGGTTTAGGGTTTAGGGTTTAATTAGGGTTTAGGGTTTAGGGTTTAGGGTTGAGGGTTTAGGGTTTAGGGTTTAGGGTTTAGGGTTTTAGGGCCCTCGAAGAAACGAAGGAAGACCCCTGCCAAGACGTTACAAGCCTGCAGTACACCAACCCTAAACGCTGACCCTCAAACCCCACACCCTAAACCCTAAATCTTCTCTTTCCTTTTGGTGTTTAAATTGTGTTCGAATTGTGAAGAGTCGACCCCCGGTGTTTTCAGATGACCCCGGTGTTTTTCAGATTTTTGAGCAATCCAGCCTCGGTGATTTTTTCGAGTTTGAACCATCGGTCACAGGGCTTTGGGTTCTGCCTAGGGTTCAGGTTTTGCGGTTCAGGGCGTAGGGTTTAGGGCTCAAGGCTTTTGGTTTAGGAGTGGGGTGTTGCCATTATGTGTTTTGTCGTGTAGATAGAAGATGAAACCTTCATACATTCTTAATGTTACTAATGTTGTGGCATTCTATGGGCAGGTGGGCATTTTTTCCAACCCTTGAGAAGCTGCTTGACTAGTGAATGCTTGGACTTGAGATGCTGAACCCTGAACCCTAAACCCTAAAACGTAAACCCTAACGAAACCCTAACCTAAACCCTAAACCCTAAACCCTAAACCCTAAACCCTAAACCCTAAACCCTAAACCCTAAACCCTAAACCCCAAACCCTAAACCCTAAACCCTAAACCCTAAACCCTAAACCCTAAACCCTAAACCCCAAACCCTAACCAGGGTGGACCACATTGAGAAGTTCAAGGCGCCAAAGGAGTTCGATGAGAACGACCTGGACGCGGAAGGAAATCCGAAGCTTCTGGAGTACAAGGAGGGGGGTGTGGGGGGTTCTAGGGGTTTAGGGGTTTCGGGGTTTGGGGTTTAGGGTTTAGGGTTAGGGTTTAGGGGTTGAGGCGTTTAGGGGTTTAGGGGTTTAGAGCTTCAGAGCTTTAGGGGTTTACGGGGCGTTAAACCCTAAACCTAAACCCTAAACCCTAAACCCTAAACTCCTCTCACTGTGGGCCCAAGGCCTCAGGAGCTGAAGGGAAAGGCTACCAAGTCTACAACGTCTCCAGTCTGCATCTGGAAAATAACTCTCAGATTTTTTGGTCAAGGATTTTGGGATTTTAGGAGTTTGGGATTTTAGGATTTTGGGATTTTAGGGTTTTAGGGTTTAGGGTTTAGTGTGTAGGTTTTGGGTTTCAGTTGTGGTCAGTGATATCTTCGCTGCTTGAGAGTTTAGGGTTTCAGTTTTGGTTTGTTGTGCGTATAGTTGTTCAAGGGCAAGGGTTTTCAGCGTTTGCTAGTGATATGTAGGAGGATTTGGGGTTTAGGGTTTAGGGTTTCGGGTTTAGGGTTTCGGGTTTAGGGTTTAGGGTTTAGGGCTCAAGGTCGCTGTATAGAGCTGCAGCTTTACAGCAGGGCTCGGTGCACCCACAAGGGACGATGAGCAGTCACTGTAAATTTGGGGTTAAGCCCTATACCTTCTAGCGCAAGCCCTAAACCCTAAACCCCGAACCCTAAACCCTCAGGTCTAAGACCTAAGCCTTACCCCCAAAACCCTAAACCCTAAACCCTAGCCCTAAACCCTAAACCCTTAACCACCCTAAACCCTAAAACCCTAACCCTAGACGCGGATTGAGGTCCTGGAGAGCCAGAAGAAGATCGTGGAGGCCATGAAGGCCCGGAAGCAGCGCCTCAGCTGGTTTGGGGTTTAGGGTTTAGGGTTTAGGGTTTCGGGTTTGGGGTTTAGGGTTCAGGGTTCAGGGTTCGGGGTTTGGGGTTTAGGGTTTAGGGTTTGGTTTTGGGAACCTTCGAGCACCAAACCTTCAAACCTTCGAACCCCAGAGCCCCAAGCCCGAACCCGCACAGCTTTGCATCGTAGCGGCTTTAGGATGAGGAACCCTAAACCCTAAACCCTAAACCCTAAACCCTAAACCCTAAACCCTAAACCCTAAACCCTAAACCCTAAACCCTAAACCCTAAACCCTAAACCCTAAACCCTAAACCCTAAACCCTAAACCCTAACTCTCGTCCAGGAAAGCCGCGCCTAAAGCCCTGGGTCCGAATCCTGGGATTGAGGGATAAACTGTTCTCTACACCCTAAACCCCAAGCCCCTGACCCTAACCCTAAACCCGGAAGCCCAAACCCTTAACCCCAAACCCTCAACCCCTAGCCCTAAACCCTAAACCCTAAACCCTAAACCCCAAGCCCTAAACCCTAAACCCTAAAACGCCAAGGTACTGGGAGGACCAAAAGGCCAAAGAAGCCCCCGAGGACGAGGATGAAGCCTGGGCTAGGCTCTGGGCTGTTTTAGGTTTAGGGTTTAGGGTTTAGGGTTTTTAGGGTTTTAGGGTTTAGAGTTCAGGTTTTTGTGGGCTTCGTGGCTGAAAACTTCTAAACACCAACATTTTTCAGTTTCTGGGAGGCACAGTGGCTTGAGCCCGAACCCTAAACAGCTTTAAACCCCAAACCCTCAACCGCCAGGTCTTTTGAGGAGAACTTGATCGACATCAAGGAGGCAGAGAAGGAGAAGAAGAGGCTGAAAAAGCTCAAGAAGGACAAGAAGGAACTCAAGAGGATGCTACCGGGTCGCAGTTTGCGGAAGGAGGGCGCAAGCTGGGGAGAGGGAGAGAGGGGGGGGGGGTTGGTGCTTTAGACTTGCGTTGTCCTGTTTTTGTGACGGGGAGGGCAGGAGGGGGGGGTGTTTCAGGTTTGGGGTTGGGGGTGTAGACAGTCTAGGCGCCTCGGACAACAACCAAGGAAGAAGGAAGCGAAGAAGCTCAAGAAGGAGGCCAAGAAGGTCAAAAAGGAGACGAAAGAGTCAAAGAAGAAAGTCGAGCCGGGAGAGAAAGTGAAGAAGGAGACCAAGAAAGAGGCCAAGAGCGACTTGGTAGCCTACCCTGTACCCTTTTTGCTGCTTCTCTCTGGGTTCCCTTATACAGTAACCACCCCCAAAAGAGCGTTGCCCTGATTAGAATAACCCTAAGCCCTATACCCGAAACCCTGAAAAGAATATGGCTACTGGACGGCTAAGGTGAGAGCGACTCCTCTGACTCGGACAGCGACTCATGATGGCATGAAAAATATGTCGAGTCTGCGCCTGACCTGAGCCCTAACCTCTAAAACGACACTTCTAGGTTTAAGGGGATCGGTTTAGGAATCTTTTCAGAGGGCTCAGTGCAGAAGCTTCGGGTTTGTGGTCGTTCTCGGCTCTAGGGTTTAGGGTTTAGGGTTGAGGCTTAGAGTGCTTAGGGTTCAGGGTTCTTGCTCCCCATGGAGATTTGCGGCAGGGGTCCCCTCTGTCCAGGAAAATGCTGCTAGACATGCGGGCAAGAAGCCCGCGAAGGCGCGTGCTAACCCCTAAACCCTAAACCCGAAACCCTAAACCCTAAACCCTTAACCGAGATATCGCCGCTGGGCCTCGTCAGGGCTCGCTGCCCATGGTGCACATTTCACCAAGAAAGCCTCAGACGTACGGCACATCCTCAGCGGCTTCATGCATCCCACCCTCAACCTAAACCCTAATTACACCCTAAGCCCTAAACCCTAAACCCTAATCCCTAATCCCTAAACCCTAAACCCTAAACCCTAAACCTTACGGACTTTGAAATTCTCACTCGAGCCCAGCCTCTGGCGCAATGGCTTCTCATGGCACGATGGGCGCAGCACGCCCTCTGCCTGGCCGCCTTTGTTGGGCTGGTTGCCCACCAGGCAGCAGCTTCTGTTAGGTTTTAGGGTCTAGGGTCTAGGGCTTAGGGGTTTAGGGTTTAGGGTTTAGGGTTTAGGGTTTAGGGTTTAGGGTTTAGGGTTTAGGGTTTAGGGTTTAGGGTTTGGTGTTGAAAGTTCTGACGCAACCAAGGCAAAGACTGTGTCCCGAAAGTCTTTTGACTTCTTTCCGCGACGCAAGAAGCCAAAGAATGTACGAAATTCGCTGGCTTACCTATAAGTACAGCTACTTCGATACTTTGGGATGCTCCCCCTTTTGCTAGCAGCCCTGAATAGGGACTATAGTACCCCTATTATAGTCCCTAGTAGGGACTGTTAGTAGAAGGGGGAACATCCCAAATGACCACATGCTGCTTGCATGAGGATATGATGCAATATCATGTTGTCTGGCGGCTTGGGGCAGGCCAAAGCCAATGCCGTCTGGATTCCCAAGGCAGCAGCAGATCGGTTGGACTGGATACCTTGCTGCAACAAATGCCTTGAGTTTGAAGATCAGGTTGCGCCATAAGCCCTGCAGGGTGTAGGGTTTAGGGTTACAGCCTAAACCCTAAACCCTAAACCCTAAACCCCAGTTGTAAGGTTAAGGGTTTACGGTTCACTGCCATGGACACCCCACAGAAGGACCCCATTCCCTGTCCGTGGTCTCCTCATCCCATGAATCCCATGATGGCTTCTTAGGCCTTAACATTCCGATGAACTACCCTATTCGCTTCCTTCTTGAGGGGATTACAGGGTACATCTTGGGATGCTCCCCCTTATACTAACATTCCTTCATCGGGATTAAAGTAGCCCCCCCCATGAAAAAAACGATTAAGGATTGTTAGTATAAGGGGGAACATCCCAGGGTACATCCTCTAAACCCCCCCTTAAACCCTAAACCCTAAACCCTAAACCCTAAACCCTAAACCCTAAGCCCATCCGGGTCTGGAGGATGTGCCGCGCGGAGGCGGCGACCCGGTCGAATGCGGTGGCGAGCTGGGTGCAGCAGCGCTTTCAGGCGAATCTATACGGCTGTGGGCATCGTTCAGTCGCCACCCTGGTTTAGGGTTTAGGGTTTAGGGTTTAGGGTTTAGGGTTTAGGGTTTAGGGTTTCAGTTTAGGGTTGCAAGCTAGAAACCCGAAAGCCCCTGCCTGTCCCCTGCCTCGGGACCGCTAACCTTCGATAGCACTCCCTGCCAGGCATCGCACTCTCGCCCTTAATCTATTCTTGGTTTTTTTTTTGGGGGGGGAACCTGATCCTCAGGGTTGTTTAGGGTTTGAGGGTTTTCGGGTTTTAGGGTTTAGGGTTTAGGGGTTGGGTAGTCCCTTCTCACGCCTAGGACCCATACGTCGCCTAAGCCCTGAGCGTGTTTGCCAGGCGCTCGGCGTTGCCGGAGACAACAGCTTGCCACGCGGCGATGCAGAATCAAAGCTTGGCGAACTGCCCGAGGAGAGTGAGTGATGCAGCAGTTTCGGGACCCTAAACATCCCTAAACCCTATAAACTTGGGGTGTAGGGTTATAAGCCCTTAAGCCTTTCAAAAGGCGGAGCAAGGTTTTTACTAGGGGATGTTCTGGGGCCGCCATTGGGGTCTTGACTGGAGTTTTCATTTCTTCGGGTTTAGGGCTTTAGGGTTTGAGGCTGGCAGCAGCAGCTACAATCAAGTTATCCATGGTCCAATTTTTTCAGCCGGAGGACCTCCAGAATCTGGGAAATGCGCTGACAGAGCTGCTTTCACGAACGCAGACAAAGGCCATGGAGTTCCCCCTAAACCCTAAACCCTAAACCCTAACCCCTAAGCCCCTAAACCCCTAAACCCCTAAACCCCTAAACCCCTAAACCCCTAAACCCCTAAACCCCTAAACCCCTAAACCCCTAAACCCCTAAACCCCTAAACCCCTAAACCCCTAAACCCCTAAACCCTAAACCCTAAACCCTAAACCCTAACCCCTAAACCCTAAACCCTAAACCAGGCCATGGATTTCCAACCTCTGCTGGTGACCTGGACCACCGGTGAGAAGAGCTTCGTGCAACAGGCCATGCATGGTGTGCACCGCAGTCGTGCACTTAGGGTTTAGGGTTTAGGGTTTAGGGTTTAGGGTTTAGGGTTGTGGGTTGTGGGTTGTGGGGTTCGGAAGAATTACTCATGGTATTTTCTTATGGTCCCTATATCAATATACCATAACAACCCCCAAAAATCCAATTCTGATTGTTATTAAGGCCCCTAAATTAGTACCTGTGGCTTGCTTTCAGTCATGCTCCTCTTGATGGCATGCACTGACCCGGCTTGTGCGTTTCATGGCGTTCGCGTTCAGGCCCTCAACCTTGCATTGTCCATCCGACGCAACGTGCCGCATCTGGAGCATCGTTTTGTCGTCGTGGCAATGGACGCACGGGCCTACAAGGAGTTGAAGGACGAAGGCTTCCACTCACTTCTGTACTCAAGCGGCACGTCCGACCTGTCTGACTTGATTTGGAAATTTCGTTGGTGGCTCTTGCTTGTAGCGGTGAGATATGGTTTACGCCTGGCCGTGGTGGACTCCGACGTTGTTGCGTTTCGAGATCCATTTCCTCTTCTGGGCCATGATGCTGACATGGAGATTGCTACTGAGCATTTCTGGCCACAGAAGCATCTGTGGAAAGGCTGGGGGGCCCAGAAATAGCTACGTTGGCCTTGGCTGGCAAGAATGCCTATAGGCCTTTATCCGCACTTGTGGCACATGAACTGACTGAGGGCTGAGCCTCAAAACCTGAATCTTACCCCCAAACCCTGAACCCTGAACCCTAAACCCTAAACCCCAAAGCCTAATGGTCATTCCTCTTGGAGGCTGGGTACGGCCTGAGGACGATCTTAGCACTGGCTTCATCTACGTCCAACCATCTCGAAAATTGGGGGCCTTTCTGGATGCCTTTCTTTCGGACCCTCGCACTTGTTTTGGCCTTGCCCTAAACCCTAAACCGTAAACCTTAAACCCTAAACCCTAAAGACCTAAAGCCAAAAGCCTAAAGAGCCTAAAGAGCCTAAAGAGCCTAAAGAGCCTAAAGAGCCTAAAGAGCCTAAAGAGCCTAAAGAGCCTAAAGAGCCTAAAGAGCCTAAAGCCTAAAGCCTAAAGAGCCTAAAGCCTAAAGCCTAAAGCCAGCAGCCAAAAGCCAAAAGCCAAAAGCCAAAAGGCCCAGCAGCTGCGGGCTTCCTCTTTCCTCTTTCGCGCGCATCGGGCATCTGGGGCGCTGCTGAACTCAGGCCAACGCCGATGAAGTACTGCCTGGCAGACTCTTGCGCGACCCGTTCGACCAGAGGGTCTTCAACAAGCAGGGGGCTTGGTTGGAACCCTAAACCCTAAACCCCAAACCCCAAGCCCTAAAGCCCTACGTACGACCCCAATCTCCCCTAAGCCGACCCAGTGGCACGCTGCAACAACCCTAAGCCCACAACACTCTAGACCCGAGGCTTTTAGGATTCTGAGCTCAGGGTTTCGACCTTTCGCTCCATCCATGTTGCACCGCTTGCACACGAGTTATACATCGTATCAGCCCCATGGAACCCCATAGTACGGCCTCAAGCCCGACAGGCCGTGTAAGCCCTTCAGCGCCTATTGTAAGCCAAAACCCCAGACCCTACAAGCCCTATCAGCCTGAACCCTAACCCTTCCAACTCTCGACCCGATAACCCTGATGTTGCCCAAAACCCTACACGTCCCATAAGACCAGACCATATACACCCTAAAACCCTAAATTTAAAGATCCTCAACCCTAAACAAACCCTCAGCCATCTACCCTGAATCCAACCCTCAGCCCCCGAACCCTCACCCTAAACCCTAAACCCTAAACCCTAAACCCCAAACCCCAAACCCCAAACCCTAAACCCTAAACCCTAAACCCTAAACCCATCCGCAGGTTCGTGCGACGCGTGGCGGCTCGCTGCTCGCCCTGCGTGCAAGGCCTGTACGAGGACCTGGCGCTGGTGGTGGCGTCAGGCCAGAGCCGGAGCCCGCAAGTTGAGTTTGGGGTTTAGGTTTAGGGTTTAGGGTTTAGGGTTTAGGGTTTAGGGCTTAGTACGGTTTAGGGTTTAGCTTTTATAAGTTTGCATGCAATCTGCCCTAAATGGGGAGGCTTCGGGCCTTGCCTGGATCTGCGACCTCATTCATCATTTCATATCTTGTGGCACCAAGTAGAGCCCGTCATGAGACCAACCGCACGTTGAAGTCTTGCAGCAACGTTTGGCCTACGACTGTGCATACGTTGATCATGGGCACCCCTCTCTAGACTACCTTGGTTCCCCCCTTAGATGACTTTAATTAAGCGTAATTGTCCCCCAAACAGGCCTAAACCCTAAACCCTAAACCCTATACCCTAAACCCTAAACCCTAAACCCTAAACCCTAAACCCTAGGGGTAGTATAGAGGGGGATAGTAGGGGGACCCATGAGTTGAGTAGGCGAGGCTGGCCCGGTTGCTGGAGATGCCCTGCGCGTGCGAGTCCTGGATCCCAGAGAGGCCGCTTTCTGCACGTTTAGGGTTTAGGGTTTAGGGTTTAGGGTTTAGGGTTTAGGGTTCAGGGTTTAGGGTTTAGGGTTGCCCAAAACCCCAAAATCCCCTGAAGCACCTAAACCCTAAACCCTAAGTCCCCTCAAGGCACTCCTCCCCCCCAAAAACCCTAAAGGGGGCCTTCCGTCGAGTGCCTTAGGTCGTGGCCAATGGGGTGAATTTCTTCTGGCGAAAAGCTCATCTTCAAGGCCTTCGGAACGCAGGGGATTGAGGATTCAGGGATTGTAGGGTATATGGGCTTTAGGGTTTAGGAGCTTGTCTCGGGGCTTTAGGGTTTAGGGATTTTGGGTTTAGGGGCTTTATTTGTAATTTTAGGGTCAAGGGGCTTTAGGGTTTAATTAGAGGTTTCAGACAATCAGGGGCTTCGTGCTCCTATTCTATTTTTCCGGGGAAGCTGTTTTCTTCTCCCCAGATGTCGTCCGAAAGTATGCTTCCCCACATTTTTCGCAGTCGCATCCTCAAGGCCCGCGGACCATGCCTGCCTTGGCTCACGCGAACGGCGTTGGGCCGAAAGAATATTTCCTCCAAGATCGGGGCGTCTGGTTCCTGGATGACCTCCGCGACTCCCGGGCGCATATGTGGGATGTCTTGGGGCTCTTCGCCCTGTACACCCCTGAACCCCAAATTCAGCTCCGGAACCCTAAACCCTGAACCCTCCTAAACCCTAAACCACTCTTTCATATATAATATAAATGTTAATGACTTTGCGGGCAAGGTCCTATATTTAGCGGGCAAGGTCCTATATTTAGCGGGCAAGGTCATATATTTAGCGGGCAAGGTCATATATTTAGCGGGCAAGGTCATATATTTAGTGGGCAAGGTCCATTGGCTAAAAAAAGACCTTGCCCACTAAATATATGACCTTGCCCGCTAAAGGGCGACCTTGCCCACTAAATATATGACCTTGCCCGCTAAATATATGACCTTGCCCGCTAAATATAGGACCTTGCCCGCTAAATATATGACCTTGCCCGCTAAATATATTGCCCGGGCCAGGTCATATATTTAGCGGGCAAGGTCATATATTTAGCGGGCAAGGTCCTATATTTAGCGGGCAAGGTCCTATATTTAGCGGGCAAGGTCCTATATTTAGCGGGCAAGGTCATATATTTAGCGGGCAAGGTCATATATAGCGGCAAGGTCATATATTTAGCGGGCAAGGTCATATATTTAGCGGGCAAGGTCATATATTTAGCGGGCAAGGTCATATATTTAGTGGGCAAGGTCCCCCCCCCACCCCCCCCCCCCACCCCCCCCCCACCCCCCCCCCCCACCCCCCCCCCCCCCCCCCCACCCCCGCCCCCCCACCCCCCACCCCCCCCCACACCCCTCCCACCCCCCCCCCCCCCCCCACCCCCCAACCGCCCCACCCCCCCCACCACCAACCTCCCCGCCCCGGACCCCCCCCCCCCCCCCGCCCCCCCCCCCCCGTGGGTGGCTTAAATAGGGTCTATTTGGAAGCTGGGACTCGGGTTTTCTTATAGCCATACACGTTTCCACGAGGGTACGCTGCTGTCACGTCAGTCGTACTATGGAGGCCTCAGGAACAAGAACCAGGTAGTTCCTCTTTTCTCTTCTCTTTTTCTCCTCAATCCTAAAGTCGAAGGCTCTCGTGAGGAGAAGAGAAGGGAGAGAAGGAGGGAAAGATAAGAGGAACACAATTTTCATGGGAAGAGCCAAGAAAAGAATAGAAGAGAGATAAAACAAGGCGCAAAGAAGATGGTACTCTTCTTTATCTATCCTCTCTCCCTTATCTCTCCGTTCCCTCTGTCTTTTCGAAATGAGAAAAACAAAAAGAAAGATGAAAAGAAGAAGGGTTAGGAAAAGAGCCGAAGAGATAGGCCGAAAAGAGGGGTATGGTGAAGTACGGCAAAGGTCCACGCACAAGGAGTCACCTTCTGCTTACCCTTCCACTGCTTGATTTTACAAGCTCCTTTCTTGTGTTTTATCAGTTAAAATTAAAAGGAAACAGAAGGAGAGAAGGGAAAGGGAAGTGAGAGAGGAGAGACAACAAGGAGGCCATTTTAATTTCCTGTGAGTTATCAAAAGGAATGCAATATTATGGGAAGAGCAATGGAAAAAAAGAGTGGAAGAGAAATTAAGACAGGAGAGGGAGGTGCAAAAATAAGGCAAAGAGAAGATGGTGCCGTTTTCATCTCACCTCTCGTTCTTATCTTCCTCTTCTCTGGTTCTTTTCCCTGTGAAATAAAAAAACAAAAGGAAGGACAATGAACATATAAAGGAACCCGTTTTCGTTTTCCGTTTGGGCACAAGGAAAAAAACAGAGGCGATAGGGCGAGAGGAGGGGTTTGCTGAAGCATGGGGAGGGTGTACGGGCAAGGGGCCAACTCCGCCCACTTCCCCCATCCATTGAAAGAGGAAAAGGAACAGGGCCTCCATTCCCCTCTTATTCTTCCTTTCTTGCGTTTTTGTCGTTTAGAAGGGAACAGGAGAAGAGGAGGGAGAGAGAAGGAGAGAGGAGACATAAAGAGGGTTGCATTTTTAATGGGAAGAGCAAAGAAAAGACCAGAAGAGAGATGATGGGGCGCACAGAAAATGGGCAGATAAGAAGAGAGGAAAGGGAATGACCAAGTACAATGAGGAGTTCTTCAATTTCCCTCCCTATCTCTTATGTTACTTTTCCTTCTTGTGGGGTGTCCCTTTTCTCTTGAAGATGCAGAAAACGATTGAAAAGGACACCCGTTCCATCGCCCATATGTAGGGAAAGAGAGAGAATCATGAGCATCAGCTGGGCTTGCTGCCAATCCAACATGGGCGTCCCTTTTAATCGCATTCTGTGTCCTTTTTTCTCGCTTGAAGATGCAGAAAACGATCCAAAAGCACATCTGTTGGAGGAAGAGAGAAGGAGAGAGGAGAGATACCAAGGATTGCATATTTAATGGGAAGAGCAAGGAAGAGAATAGAAGACAGATGAATAGAGAAGATGGCGCTCTTCTTTATCTATTCTCTCTCCCTTGTTTCTCCCTTCCCTCTTTCTTTTCGAAATGAGAAAAACAAAAAGGAAGAACTATGAGAAGGAGAAGAGTAAGGAAAGGAACAGAAGAGATAGGCCGAGAGGATGAATATGATGGAGTATTATGGAAAGGCTCACGCGCAAG